CCTCACTCACAACCTATTTTATTTTGAAGTAATATATCCATATATGACCCAGATATCATGACAAGTTACTTTTATACAAACGAAAAGAAGTGTAACCGTACTTATAATAAAAATGCAAATCCAAATCACCTTGGAAATACCATTTTTCACCTCTCAGATTGGCAAGGATAAAAGTATTTGATAATACAATCTGTTGGAAAGGGGATATAGGAACTCTCAAACATTATCCATGACATGAAAAACTGGTATCATCTCTAAAAGCACGCTTGGCAACAGTTAAAATTCAATCAACACAGAGGTAAGCAAAATCAGTGAAAATGGCATATCAAGAATCTGGCTGCTTTCATTCTCACATCTTAGGGTTCTTTGAGTAATGCCTTTCTTCCCCCTTTAAACTCCAGGAGGACAGGGACCACACATAATTTATTGGGCATTTTAGCCCAGTGTCTGGTCCATGGCAGATATTTCATAAATGTGGAATTTATTCTTGCAATCAACGATAAATTTCTTATGGGTCAGGTGGGCACTGTGCTAGATTCTGGAGATACACCAGTGCTGAACAAGACAAACTAGTGCTCTCTTCTCTTCCATTCTAGAGGCAGCCAATAAATAACCAAACATATATAAAGTTACACATAATAATAAAATTAATGAATGATATCAAGTTGGTTTAAAAACAGGTATCATATTTTTCTATATTAAAATTTAGTTTTATGAACTTTCATACCCCCATAGGCATTTTAATTTCTAATAATTTCTTGTGATTAAAATAACCTAAGTAATAATGTAATTTCTTGATTATGAATTATTTTCACTATAACTTGAGGTGCAAAATAGGAAAAAGCAAAGACTACAAGCCTACTAACCAAACACAACTACTTTTAGCATTAAGCGTATTTCTTTCCCATGTTTTCCATGAAGCTTTCTTCAATATCACAACAAGCCCAAAACACACAAAGTTCTCTGCTTTTCACATCTGATATTTAATCCTCTTTCTTCATAACAGAGGTCAATGAAGCTTTTAAAATGGTTTCCTTCCAAAAGAGAGCAATGTCTCCCTGGAAGCAATGGCTTCAACTCACTCAACGCTTTCTGCCCTCTCTAGGACCAACAGCTCTACCTAAGTGAAGGTGACCTCCACCAGCCCTTCGTGCAATGAATTTTTGCCTTCGCATTTAAACAGGTCCATTTCCCTCCCACATGCCAACCATTCTCTTTTCCCATATTCTTTTCTTCCATATTCTTGACAAGATACCACATCTTTGATAAGTTTTTCTTCCATCTCTTCCTTATGCTTTTCTTATTTGTTAAGTATAGAACTCCTTCCAGCTTCTTTGAAATAAAAATAATATAAAAATACTCATGAATTGGATTTTGGGAAAGAATCAACAATCAGGCAGCAGGAGTTGAAGAAATCGATTCTGAAATGCAGAGGCTTCAGGCTACAGTCACCATCTGAAGTTGAAGACACTGCCTGTCTTTCTAGAGAAATAACGGGTAGCAGGTGGTTCTGGTAAATTAGCAAGGCAAATGTTACCCTAATGTTTATCAAGTTGGCAATAATTGTATTTGAATATTTTCCTTTAATAGTAAGTGGAGGCTTAAAGACACTGATAGATTATGAATGAACAGAAAAGACAAAATATTTCTCCTATAAATAGACAACAGATAGTTTGGGAGATCAAAAACAAAATAAAATAAAATAATATGTAGGTCACCAAAGTGATTTTCTAAAAAACTGGCTGGGAAAGCATCCTGGCTCTGTAGGAATTAAAAGCAAGAAAGAATTCACTAGCTTGTTTCCTTCTACATTTCTAGCAAAATAGCACACAACATTAATTCTCTTTACATAAAGACAAATGAAAACAAGCCTGCAATGCATCACAACCAGAATATATTTAATAAGATGATGAAACTTTCAGGGAAAGTTACAGTATGGGTATCTTGTCTCAGAATAGCTAATGTTTTAGAACAGGATATTTCATTGGAGGGTGGGGGAGAAAATATGCATGTTGGGGAACAGGATTTATGGATTTTTTGGTCTATGTTCCAACTTTCTTTAAAAAAATAAATTCATGGATCTTTAACCATAAAATTTCATGAATGGTAAACAATAATAAAAAATAATGCCAAGTATTGCGATTTTACTTCTCTCTGAAATAAATGCCACTAATACCTTCCTAAGTAAAATTCAATGCACAAAAGCACCACAAGCTTCAAGTGATAATTTGACAATATTGCTTCTAAAATTCCAATCCTTTAGAAGCAACAGTGCTGATCATTTTTGAATGACTGTGCTTAATTCAAGAGAATTAATTCCTGAAAAGTTTTAAAGCATTTGATAGCACACAACAACTAGAGACTAGCTCAAAATTATCAGTCATTTGGAATCCCAACCCCCAAATTTAATCTTTGATCTTCTAACAAACTGGTTTACTCCAAATATTTGCTTTCTCTGTACTATTTTGTCTCATAATAAACAGTTTGGGTACCAAATATTGAATTTGTATGTTTTATAAAATGGGATTATATTATAGACATAAAGCCAAGGCAAACAGCTCATTCACTTGTTAGTGTCCAATATATCCTGCCTACAAAAGCTTTCTAAAATACGACCAAAAAAAAGACACTTAACAGGGAAAAAAACCCTGCTGCTGACTCATTCCTCATAGAGAAACATTTAGTATTTCCCAGGGCAGTGTGCTGAATTTCCATTATACTTCTAGTGCTATAATTTCCACTCATGAATTCTGGAAGGAGTTTAGGCAAGGGGGAAAAAAAAGATGAAACTCCTATGAAAGACACAGTGCTTTTAAAGGAACTATAATGAGATCTGCAGAAAAGTTATTAATCCATGCCCTTTTGTTTTATTTCTGATATATACTATAGTAATGCTATTTCCCTAGGAAAGTTCACTGTATTCATCTAGGAACTTGCAGCAACAGGGCAAAGAGCAAACCAGAATTTTAGAGTATCATCAGTAAGGAGTCAAAAGGTCTTCACGAAAATCCAGGTACCAGGCGAAGAAAGAAGAAAGGCAAAGCTCAAAGAACCACTCTCCACTTTCTCTGGATCATGATGTAAGTGATCAAAGAACATGGAATTTGAGGAAGGCACCAATAATAAACATGTATTCATATGCACATGCGTACATGCATGTTATAGTACTTACTGGTGCTATTCCACTAACCACCACAACCATATAACCTTATCTAAAGCAAGCAACTCTGTAAGACAGGTATTTTTTGCAAATCACAAAATGGGGATACAAAGTCAGGTCTGTTCTCCAAAACCCATCAAATATTTACTTTTGGTGTTTTTGTTTGTTTTTTGTGTTTTGTTTTTGTTTTTTGTTTTTGTTTTTGTTTTTTTTTGAGATGAAGTTTCACTCTGTCAACCAGGCTGGAGTGCAGTGGTGTGATCTCGGCTCACTGCAACCTTTGTCTCCCTGGTTCAAGCAATTCTTGTGCCTCAGACTCCCAAGTAGCTGGGACTACAGGGATGCGCCACCACGCACAGCTAATTTTTGTATTTTTAGTAGAGTCAGCATTTCGCTATGTTGGCCAGGCTGGTCTCAAACTCCTGACCTCAAGCAATCTGCCCACCTCAGCCTCCCAAAGTGCTGGGATTACAGGCATGAGCCACTGAGCCTGGCCAGATACATACTTTGAAACATTCTGTGGCAGGAGAAGGATAAAGGATAGTACTTCACCAAGCATAATACTTTTGAATCAAGTTTACAAGGAAATTAATTTCTGAAATGTTAAAGTATAACTGAAATCAATGTTATTTAGATATGCAAAAGAACATAGAAATACAGAACATATTTTTTCCAAAAAATTTAAATAAGTCTACAGAGAACTCTATACTAAATAAGTTATTATTTCTGCTTAATTTTATCTTCTTTTAAAAAAATTTTAAGCACTAAGTATAAACAGTAGATATTTCCTTAACAACATATCTACAAGATTATGATTTGTTTGTCACACATGATCCCTTAGCATATGATAGTCACAAAGTCAGAATCTGAATTGAATTTCAGTACTCTCCATATGAAACAAGTATTATGAAATTCAAATCTTATTGTTTTAAAAATTCCTGAGACTGATTTGTCTATTGGAAAATATCATTACACATTAAAGAAGAAAGCATAAGACACAGGAAAGACCGTGGATTTTAGAATCAAATGGACTAGTATTCAACACCAAGACAAGCCACCTGTTCTAAGAGCTTGCTAATTATTCAATCTCTGAGCTCCAGTTCTTCTCACTGCAATATGTGGATACTAATAATTAGCTCATACAGTTGTAGTGATAATTAAGTGAGATAATATACATAAATTGCCTTGAACATTGCTGAGTACTTAGTATGTGTACAATAGCTACTACATTATTTGATTCAACTTATTTATTCTTTAAATATGTTTAAATATCGACAATCTTTACTATAAATACGTCCATATTTTTCACTCAGTGATAATATGCTTTAAATTTTTCAACAACATCAAAAAACAGACAGCTGAATTATGCCTAGTCAAGCTGTTTTTACCAATCTAAGTTTGTATGGGCTACAGTATCCTTTTTTTTTTTCTTTTAGAGACGGAGTCTCGCTCTGTCACCCAGGCTGGAGAACAGTGGTGTGATCTCGGCTCACTGCAACCTCCGCCTCCTGCATTCAAGCAACTCTCCTGCCTCAGCCTCCAGAATAGCTGGGATTACAGGCATGCACTACCATGTCCAGCTAATTTTTGTATTTTTAGTAGAGACGGGGTTTCACTACCAGTACAGGTTGGTCTCAAACTCCTGACCTCAAGTGATCCTCCTGCCTCAGCCTCCCAAAGTGCTGGGATAACAGGTGTGAGCCACTGCACCTGGCCTCTATGGGCTATAGTATCCTCAATTCAGGAAAATAACATCAACAGAAGATAAGTTACTTACGCTCCGCCTAGAAAATGTACAATAAATAGAGTTATCAAAAATACAAACTACACTCCCACCTACCTTGGTTGGTTCTCCACAGTAAGGCTCTCCCCCCGCTGATAGCCACTGTCCGCCACTTGGGTTGTAGACCTCTTCACAATTTGCTTCAGCTCCTGCTCCAAGCGCTCTATGATTGCCTTAACTGTCTCTGGGATCTTCTTCAGTTTGGCCAGACCCTTAATGAGGATACCCATAAAAAGGGTGCTGTTTTCCTCTGGATCCAATTCTAAATCTTCCTTGATGTCCTGCAGGTTTATCTCCCTCACTGAAAAATTAAATAATAACAATAACAGATACAGACTCCACTCAAAAACCCCAAAAAAGAGCAGTCTAATAAATGAAATCACTGCCTTGATTACTCTCTTAAGAAATTAAAGAGGATTTTTCAATTAAATTATATTTGCCCAATAACCATCCAAGAGTCACAAAATAACATTTATATTCCTCAAATCATACCCATCAGTTAGTAATAAGAGGCAGATGCAATAAAAATTAGTAAACAAATCACCGTGGGAAGTTTTCCACAGACTACTACTTCTGCCATGAGTCCGCTGGCCCATGACATTTATTAGGCACTCGCTGTTTATAAAATGCCATATGTGGTGCTGCAAGAGAATTCTAAAGAGCTGGATCCTAGCCTCAGGTTTGTATTTGTTAGTTAAAAGTGGTAAGTCACTGGAGAAAAAGACATCATAAATACACACAGGGGAAAGGGTGGTAAATAAATTAAAATTGTAATAAATTTTTTAAAAAGATTAAGGAAAAACAGTACATACAAGTGAGACAAGACTTTGAGGAAATAGAGTAACGAAGAGGTATTTCATAAATACAAAAGAACAACCTATTTTTCTTTAAACATAGTCTGCTACAACATCATTATCTATAGGAGACAGATCTTGCTAATAATCCATGAAAGGTTTCTGAGAAGTAATGTTACATGTCAAAAGCCTCTGTAGATCTTTAGAATACAGCATTCATTCAAACAATTTGGCATTGAAATTGAAGAAATAACCAAAACTTTAGTTCTCAACCCCTGTGGCAAGTTGGGGAGAGGGGAGAACTGCTGATAGGAGATCTCTGTTATCTACTGAAAGCCACAGGCCTTGCCCTCCAAAGAATGAATATACATATGCAAAACCTCACATAGGAATTCCGGGTTTCCACAACTGCCAAAAAAAACAGGTTACAAATCTCTGACTTAAAAGTAACTGCCTCACTTTACAAATGGCTGGATTAAGATATACAAAAGCAAAAGTGGGTATAAGCCTGAAGATGGAGACTAATAGTCAAAAGTTTGCCCCATCCACCTCTGTCCTCCAACCCTGAAAACAAATGTGAGATTTTAACAATACGCAATATCTTGCAAGAATGAATACATTCTTCCTTAGTAGATTTAAACTCAATTAGACTACAAGTCATTCTAAGTTATTCAGCACTACTGGAATGGTACTGAAATCTACTAGGGAAGAAAGAAAACATCCCAGTAAATGGAATGAGTTCTTGTAACTGCTGCATAAAGTCCGTAAAACCTCTATTTCAGATGATCTGAAATCCACTGTAGGGCATTCTCCTCAGTCCCTATTTTGGGGGTTCCCAACTTATAAAATGCACTTAAGGAGGATTCTGGGAAGGTTGCAGAGTAGGAAGCACCAAGAATCTCCCCACCAACAGGACTGTACTGGCAGAATCTCTCTGATGTAACTATTTTGTAACTCTGGAGTCTATGTAAGGCTTGCAACTTCCAAGGGAAGGCTTAGATGGTAAATTGTGGTTAATTTCGGTCAATTACAGCTCTTACCACAGTAGCCACCCAGCACTGTGGCAGATATCCCTGTACCTATTCCTGGAGTAGCTTGCACACACCTGGTGGAGACACGATGGGCAAAAAGAACCCTGCCCACCAAGTATCAAGAACCTATGCTCCAATCGCTGATTGCTTCCTCTAATCACAGAGGTACAAAGAGGTGGGTGACCATTGCTGTTGCACCTCCTCCAATTTTTCAAGCCTCTCCTACTCTTGCTGAAGTAAATTCCAGGGAATTTAAAGAGCCAACAGCCTTCCCCCACCACCTTTATTTTTCTCTTGCTCCCTTTTTAAACCCAAACATTGGGACTAGGACATTCAAAAACAACTGAATGTATTCAAAAAATTATAAAGTGACCGTGCATGCTCATGTAAAGGTGCAGGCTTAGAAAAGCTTAATTTGAGGAGATCTTAAATTAACACCCAGGCTGATCCTTGGGATAGACACTGGCTACAGTAATTTATAAAACAATAACAACATCAAAACCCAGCAAACCCTGGAAAAGAGGGAGAATCCGATTTGCAGAGTCACCACATCATTAAACTGAAATACCCAGTTTTCAACAACAACAAAAAAATCACAAAGCATACAAATAGAGAGGAAAATATGGCCCAGTCAAAGGAAAAAAAATAAATCAACAGAACCTGTCCCTGAAAAAGACTTAATGGTAGATACATTAAGAAAAAAACTTTCAAAAAGTTTTTTTTTTAAGTTTTAACTATTTTAAAGATGCTCAAATAACAAAAAATATAGAGAAAATCAAGAAAATGATATATAAACAAACTGGCAATATCAATAAAGAGATATAAAAACTAAAAAAAAAGAGTAAGAAATTCTTGAGTTGAAAAGTATACTTGGAATGAAAAATTCACTAGAGGGATTCAAAGGCAGATATGAGCAGAGAGAAGGAAAAAATCAGCAAACATCAAGATAAGACAATGGAAATTATCATCTGAAGAACAGAATGAAAAAAGATTGAAGAGAAGTGAAGAGAGCCCACAGGATACAATCAAATGCACTAATTTAGACATTGTGAGAGTTTTGAAAGGAGAAGAAAAAGAGAAAAGAGCAGAGAATATTTAAAGAAATAATAGCAGAAAGCATCTCAAATTTGATGAAATACATGAATATAAATATCCAAGAAGTTCAACAAACTCCAAGTGAGAGGAACTCAAAGAGACCCACACCACGACACACTAGAATCAAACTTTCAAAAGACAAAGAGAGAATCTTGAGAGAAGTTACTCATCACATACAGGATCCCCAATAAGATTATCCACAGATTTTTCATCAGAAACTTCAGGGGCCAGAGGGCAGTGGATTCATTCAAAGTGCCAAAACAAACAAACAAACAAATAAAAAACTGTCAACCAAGAATTCTGTATCTCGCAAAACTGTCCTTCAAAAGTGACTGAGAAAAATTAAGACATTGCCAGGTAAACAAAAGCTACAGGATTTCAGTACCATCAGGACTGCCATGCAAGAAATGCTTTAGAAAGTCCTGCATGTTAAAAAGAAAGGACATTAGACAGTAACTAGAAGGCATATGAAGACATAAATATCTCAATAAAGATAAATGTCTAGGCAATTATAAAAATTAGTAGTGTTACAAGACAATTATTTCTAACTGTAACTTTGTTTTCTACATAATTTAAAATATTAAAAGATTTTAAAAATAATTAGTCTAAAAGCTAGTATTACTGTTAACTTCGGTTTGTAAATTCACATTTTGTTTTCTACATCATATAAGAGGCTACTGCATTTAAAAGATTTATTAGCTTATGTTTTTGAGCACACAATGTATAAAAATATAATTTTGTGACATCAATAATCAAAAGTTTTAGGGACAGATCCATTAAAGGAGTGGATGTTTTGTATTTTATTGAAGTTAAACTGGTATAAATTCAAGTTAGAGAGTTATAACTTTAGAATGTTAAACGTAAGTCCTATGGTAAGCACAAAGAAAAATGCTACAGAATGTATACCATCAGGAAATGAGAAAGGAATTTAAACATTTCACTATAAAAAGTCAACTAAACACAATACAGTAATGTAGAATATGAAGGGCAAAAAAATAATAATGCATATGGAAAAAAATAGCAAAATGTCTGAAATAAGTCACTCCTTATCAGTAATTACTTTAAACGTAAATGGAGTAAACTCTCCAACCAAAAGACAGAGACTAGCAGAATGAATAAAAATTCATGACCCAATGATATGCTGTCTACAAAGGCACAAATCGATTCAAAGGCACAAATAGACTCAAAGTAAAAGGCTGGAAAAAGATATTCCATGAAAATAGTAGCAAAAAAAGAGCAGGGGTAACTATACTAATATCAGAAAAAAATAGACTTCAAATCAAAAAAGATTACAAGAGACAAAGAAGGACATTATATATTAATAAAAGGCTCAACACAGTAAGAAGATATAACCGTTATAAACATTTATACACCTAATGACAGACTATCAAAATATATGAAGCAAAAACTGACAGAATTGAAGGCAGAAATGCGCAGTTGTATAACAGTTGAAGACTTCAATACCCTACTCTTGATAATTGATAGAACAACCAGAGAGAAATAAGGAAATAGAAGACTTAACACAATCAACCAACTAGATCTAACAGACACATACGGAACACTCTACCCCAAAACAGCAACATACACACTCTTCTCAAGTACACATGGGACATTTTCCAGAACAAACCATATATTAGGCTGCCAATTAAGTCTCAATAGATTTAAGCAGAATGTATCACACAAAGTATCTTCTCTAACTAAATAGGGATACAGTTAGAAATCAATACCAAAGTTAAAAAGGGAAAATTCACAACTTTGTGTCAATTAACACACTCTTTAAAAACCAATGTATCAAAGAAGAAACCTCAAAGGAAATTAGAAAAATACCTAGAGATTAAGGAAAATGAAAACAGAACATATGAAAATACAATTTACAGGATGCAGGAAAAACAGCAAAAAAAAAGAAGAAATTTATAGTTATAAATGCTTACGGTAAAAAACAAAAAAGATCTCAAAACAACAGCTTAATTTTACAGCTTAAGGAATTTGAAAACAAAGAACAAACTAAACCAAAGCTAGCAGAAAAAATATAAAGATTAGAGCAGAGATAAAACAGAGAATAGAAAAACAATACCAAAAACTGATGAAACCAAAGTTGGTTCTTTGAAAACATCATCAAAAATAACTATTGGGAAGAGGCCCCCCAAAATCTGGCCATAAACTGGCCCCAAAACTGGCCATAAACAAAATCTCTGCAGCACTGTAACATGTTCATGATGGCCATAACACCCACGCTGGAAGGTTGTGGGTTTACAGGAATGAGGGCAAGGAACACCTGGCCTGCCCAGGGTGGAAAACCATTTAAAGGCGTTCTTAAACCACAAACAATAGCATGAGCGATCTGTGCCTTAAGGACATGCTCCTGCTACAGATAACTAGCC